CAACTCGGATGCTACAAGATATGAATATATTGCTCAAGATTACATTACGAATATGTTTGCTACGAAGATACGGGTATGGGGATTATCAAGATGCGTCACTAATCACTTTCAAGAAGACAAGAATAAGTAAAACGAAGAGTCAGATACCTGTGCACTAAGCCTGGGCCGTGGAAATAGCAGCCACCTTTTTTTTCCTAAACCAACGGTCAGTGGCCATTATTTCCGATGAAGCGTACGCAGTACTTAGCAATAGGCTCTCCACCTGCTTCCAGTCCGTGTTTACGGACCTTTTTTCCCCCCACGGTGGCCGTATTTTCCTTCTCCCGCATTTCGCTGAGGGCATTAGCGCCAATGGCATTAGCGGTTTCGTTGCGAGTAGATGGTTTCAGTGGACGTCTGGACTTGCGAGTAGTGGGTTCGGGCTGGCTGGTAGAAGCTGCGCGTTTAGCTTTACCACCTGCTGCCTTCTGAGGAAGGCCTGCTGGAACCGAGGGAGGATCGCCTGTGGGCACGGGTGGCAGTGGTGGTAAGGTGACCGAAGGAGACGGAGTGGGAACGGGTGGCAGCGGTGGTAAACCGTCTGAAACAGACGGTGTGGGAACAGGTGGCAGCGGTGGTAGGCCGTCTGAAACAGACGGAGTGGGAATAGGTGACAGCAGTGGTAAGCCGTCTGAAAGAGACGGTGTGGGAATAGGTGACAGTGGTGGTGAGCCGTCTGAAGAAGACGAAGGAGAATTGTCGGTGGCAGGTGGTGACGGTGGTAAAGCATGGCTCAGATGGCCACTGGATTGCTGGAGGTAGCTCGCAGGCTGGGGGAAGTTTGAAGGCTGGTAGTTTGAAGGCTGGGGATAGCCCATAGGCTGGGGGTAGGGGTAGCTAGGGACTGGGTTGAAATGGTTGAAACTGTTGAAATTTTGAAGCGGATCATAGATTGGTGGAGGGGCGAAAGTCCACAATTGAGGATTGCTGAGCAGTTGACCAAGATCCGCAGAGTGACCATCATTGCTGAAGTTGGTAGAGTTGGCGAAGTATGATGAGTTGGCATCATGCATGGCGAGATTTGCCTGACCCTCAGGCTGCTGGAGGCCATGCATGTTGATGGGTTGCTGGAGGCCATGCATGTTGATGGGCTGCAATGAGTCATGCATGGTGTCAGGCTTCTGAGTCGGATTGTCATGCATGGGCATAGCATAGTTAGGCGAATAAATATTGAGAATCTGCTCTTGACGTTCCTCCCTCCCGTCCAAAACATTCCCCTCACTCTGCGACACCTCTATTTCCTCCTCCGGCTCATCTGTGAAAGGGTCAGCATCTACTTCGTCTTGATCTTCAAGGTCCGTCTGGTCTCCATCCCCGGCCTCTCCGTTGTCCGCAGCTACCGCTCTTTTGGCATCGCCTTTCATCTCAGGTTCGGGGGAGGAATAGCCTACATCATTGTCGCGTAAGTGCAATGCCCTTTTGACAGTAACGATTAACTTACCTTGTACACCTTGAAGGAATTTCAGATACGTTCCAAGAAAGTGTTCCTTGAAGTCAGGCAATAATTGCGGGGCTGAATGTCCCAGCTTGGTGGTACCGACGTCAACCCTGCTACTAGTAAGCGCTCCATTTGTTCACAAGACATTCACAAACTTACGATGCGACAGAGATTTTGTTGTTGTTCGAGGGATCTGGCCCACCCATTAACACCAAGAACGAAAACCCAGTTTGGTGCTCGAGGTACGTGAGGATTGTGTTGAAGATAGCAGGTAAGTTTTCCTGTGCTCTGTTTGAATGACATGTTGCTCAACAAACAAATCAAAAAAAATAGTCGAGAAGAACGTACTCAAGCATATCCTCGGTGGTTGGTGATTGCTCCTCTTCATCTTCGTCCTCCAGAGCCTCGGCGTCTTCATCATCTGCATCAGTATTCGCCTTCCTCGATTTCTTCTTTGCTTTCATCCTGGCCTTGACGTCCGCAATAATAGTCTCATCGGCTTCTCGCTCCCAACATTGACGTGTGACCTCTCGTACAATCGTTAGTCTTTCACCTCTTGTTGTGGAGCCACGTTCGCTAACTGCAGCTTCGACAGTTGGACGGATATTGGTTTTATAATATAGTCGGGAGTACATTTCGGCCTCGCTCAGAGCTCTTGCACCCCGAGGCTGGAGGAGGTCCTTGAGTAAACGAGTGGCCCGTGTGGAAGATTGCGCCACTCTGCCTTTGCGAGATGCGGAATTACCCGAATGCCACGACATCCAGGTGCGCAGTTGCTTCATTTACTTTTCGGTTAAGATCTCAAGCTCACAATTAACTAACGACATCACCTTCTGACGCCTCTTTACTGCCTTCCCCTTTGCTGCCGATTGTACGGCATTCAGACCATCCTCATCGGGAAGTTCTGGCCAGAGCTCTTTATATATGGGCCATTGCTGCTCCCATTGCTCATAGATGGGGGGCCAGAACTTTGCATAGCTAGATTTAGTCGAGCACTTTTGATACCCGGGAAGCTGTGCCGTTAACCACTCCTTCTGCTCCTTAGATGTCCATTCACTAGCAACCATCTGTGAGATATATGTTAGGCAATTGTGTGAAAAATTGATCGGCCGCGCACCTTTCGCTCTCTTTGAATTTCGTGATGGGGATTTAACGTTTTGACGCCTGAGTGCAAAAATAACAAAATGAAAATTTTACAGCATCAATACAGCTCCATCAAGCCACAAGGCAATTGCCGAATGACATGAACACACGGCAGCACACGGCACGCTTGAGTCTATTAACCTGAATCTCATTGATGCGGTCACCCAATCTACACGTAGTACAGCTATCAACCTGTATCACTACATAATAATGAAATCGGATGTCAACTGATACCTAAGAAATCCTCGACTATGTGCAGATGTGATGTCATCATCTTCAAAAACACGCAAGAGAATGTCTTCAAGAAATAGTATGACTTGCCGGCACTGCATACCATCATCTCCACTTCTTGTAACTGCTTCTTCGGCCTCTTGAGCGATATCAAGTGCATCCAGAATAGGCCGCCGTGAGTCTTCAGAACGAGTGCTACCCGTATACTGCAACACCAGGTCATCCAAGAACTTATGGGTGGACCCATTGACAAGCCTATGGAATTTAATCTGCGGTTCAGATCTAAAGGTTTGTTGTCAAAGTGAGTTTGAAATGATATGGCGATTGAGTACATACAATCTAGTAGTGAGGTCGCTGGCTCCTGTATCGCCGCTGTCTCCTGTATCGTTTGACTCGGAGTTCTGAAGGGTTGTGCGTAGATACCTTGGATGCTGCGGATGCTTCGATGTACTATCATGATACTTTAATTTCATCTTTTTCAAGATGGCGACTTTGTTTCTGTTGGAGGATGCAATGAACACTAGCGACTGCGACTCGAAAGAACATGAACGTACCTCTCATAATACACCTTTCTGTATCCCTTAGCAGCTTCTTGGCGTTCTTTGTTGGACTTGTGCAGTTTTTTCCGAGCCATGGTAGGAGTGTGAAAGAGGTGTTGAATGTCGAGACTGAGAGAGAGAGAAAGACTAGTAAGTAGTACGAATGATGCGTGATCACATCCGAGTCGCTAAGTTACCTAATTCGAGTTTGAATGCCTGTTCGTTGTATGCACTGCAAGACTCAAGAATACATGCTCAGCAACATTTTTTCATGCAACATACCAAGATAAACGACTGTATTCATGAAATAAACAGAGTCTGATGCAGGACAAGGCCAGCATTACATGGTGGTAGGCGTGTTGTATGTTTTACCTGCCGCAGAATACTTTCTTAGAAGATTTATTTATCAGTGCCGCGTTCGTTCAACTACTGGCCTTCCCTTCACTCGTATGTTCGATCAAGAGAACCAATTCAGTATTGCCGTGACTCGGATGATACACACTATGAACAACTACTTGACTTGTATATACAGTATATCACGCCCCCAAGTACTGACAATTATTGCGTTCAATGGCTGCATGGATCCGTGCAACGCCTACTTCAACTGACGGACAGCGGCTATGGATAGCACCACTGACCCCCGTGACTTGGGGAGAAGTGTCTTCCCTGTTGGTTGATTGTTAAGTGCGTAAGATAGAGCCAAAAAAAAGGCGTACCAAGTGGCCAAAACTCCAACACGTTTGCCTTTAATCACGCAGTAGAAGGGCCCTTCAGCAGACAGATCCGGAATCTCGTATGGGAACCCTTTATACGAAACTGATCTGGGCGGAAGCCCAACTAAGTCTGCGTTGGTCCCAACTAAGTCTGCATTGTTGCAGAGCGAGAGTTTCGCGATGGCTTCAGCAATACTGCCGATATCGGGTGCCAGTGTGGTGGAGGAGAGCGGTGGAGTGGTGGTGGAGGCTGGAGTAGCCTCAGCTCCCTCATCAGCATTGTCTTCAACATCACAATCGGCTGTGTGATCTTTCTGTCCAGGGTGAACGGCTGCTGACGGAATGGTCTGGCCACCATCTGCAATTGCTTGGATGATGGTAACGAGTGCATGGGCAGTGACAGAACTCATGTTAAGATTCATGAGTGCTGTCACAAGAGCATCTAGAGAGAGTCAGTGCACATTTTAAAAAAAATATCATAAACTTACCGACTGCGTGACTAGAAGACACCGAGCTTGGGTTGTTTGATGTCATCTAGTAAAGTAATGTTCGTGTTCGGGTTGAAGTGGAGTGATGGGAGAAAGACACTTACCGTCTGGCAGCTTATTTATGGTAGTACCATGGAGGCTCGCGACTGATTCTGGGTGGGAGAGGAAGGCGATAGATTCATCGCCCACAACGTAATAGTCATGGTGTATGCAAGTGTAATACTAGGTGAGTCTCAGGAAGGCTTGGCGGATGCGTCTAAATTCAACAGATACAAACAAACACTTCTTTGATTCACCACTGCAAGATCCTTGGATGTCGGGTGATGCAATTGATAAGGCGTGTCTCAAATTTATTCGCTGTGATGAATTCATTCGTTTTTTCATTCGTTTTTTACTGTCTGCGTTCACAATGGGCAAGAAAAAACAGAAGTTAGTGCGTCATACTGCTGAGCAGCTTGCAGACACGCCTTCAGCCAACATCCACACGGCCTCCATGTACACATTCCAATCTGGCAAGCCCTTAGTACGCACGGAGTCCCTGGTTGGCGCCCATGTTGCTCCCACAACTGTCCCCCCTACGACTCTTCTCCGTAATGAGGATTCACCACCAGCATCTAACCAATGGCAAATATACCAAGCTGGCTCTTTCCTCGACTATATGCCGATTCCTGACGAGTTTCGCGTCGAGACTGAGACTTCGAAGAGGAAACGCACAGCCGGGGTAAGTTTTGTTCTTTATTCTCAACATTTTGCTTATCCTGTACCTACCAGGATCACCCCCTTGCAGCATGGCAGCCGGAATGCCCCACATTTTTGGACGAGATGATTCGCCTGGAAGGCCGCGGAGATTACGCCGAGGATTCTGTCTGTCGACACTGTCAAGAACATGCCCCAACCATCCGATGCGCAGATTGCTTCTTACAGGAACTCTACTGCCCTTCAGTGTACTGTGGAACGGCACCGATGTCTGCCCTTACATCGTCTTCAGGTAATGTGATTCCCAAGATCTATACTTTAGGATCCGCTGACATCCGGTATTTACTATTATGCAGCGCTGGAATGGTAACTACTTCGAACGAATCACCCTCAAGTCATTGGGGTTACGCATTCAGCTGGGGCACCGTATCGGAGACACGTGCTGCAACCCTCACCGTGCGTTCAATGACGACTTCATAATAATCGACTCGACTGGAATACATGAAGTGGGACTGGATTTCTGTGCTTGTGGGACCATGCAAACACACGTTAAGCAACTGCTACGCTCTCGACTCTTTCCAGCAACCGTTACTGACCCCAAAACTGCGGCTACTTTCGGCGTGCTCGAACAGTATCACTTACTGTCTTTTGAGTCTAAAGCCTCCGCGTTTGAGTTCTATCAAGCCCTCGCGCACTTATCCAACAATACGGGCATGGATCCGCCAAAGGTATTTTATTTACTTATTGCGAAGCACTGTGATAACAAGAACTACAGGACCGTTATCCTACATTCTTGCGAGTAGTGCACGAATGGCGAATCCTCAAGTTGCTCAAACGTTTCGCTCGGGGACACTGTCCGGATGGCGTCGTGACAACAGAGCCTGGACAGTGCGCAGTGCTCTGCCCTGCCTGTCCGCACCCCGGAAAAAACCTGCCGGAGAACTGGGAGAACGCCTCGCTTGATAAGCGGTAAGTTCCATATTGGTTCAAAATTCTTTACCTTCTAATCCAAACACAGATGGCTGTATGCTTTATTCGTTGGCATCGATGCCAACTTCCGTCTGAAGCGGAAGTTGGTATCAAGTGATATTGTTGATCCTGGAGTCAGTAAGGGATGGTCGTATTTTGTGGAGGAGAAGGCGTACAAATCATATCTAGAAGACAATAAAGACCGGAACCAGGAGGTAAGTCTTTTTTTGGTCAACGATTGTTGCAAACAACTCAGTCACTGATAGCGCAGTACATGCGCCAGTCACAATGCTGTGAATATGGCCGATACAAAGAAGTCTAGAGGCCTTGCCGCTACAGGTGTTGGGACGGTGGATTGTGCCAGGCACAATATGAAACTTCGCAACGCAGTTGGTGACTTACAGAAGGGCGAGAAGTATGTATTCCCCATTGTTTATTTTGTCACGCTACCGCCTTACAACACTGCACAGGTACATTAATATGGATTACCTATTTTTTTCGGCAATGAAACACCACGACGTCATCGTTCTCAACATATCATACGATATCGCGTGTCAATGGTCCAAGCATCTGTGGTCGCGGATGTCAAAGCTTCCTTCCGCGTTTCATCTGGATCACGACAACAAACAGGTCAACTTTCTTATTCCAAAATTCCATCTACCGGCCCACATCGAGCCATGCCAGATTGATTTTTCTTTTAATTTCTCTCGGCATGTTGGTCATACTGATGGCGAAGCTCCGGAACGCGGGTGGGCTAATATTAACCCGATCGCATCAAGCACCAAGGAGATGGGCCCAGGCTCTCGGCGTGATACACTCGATGACCATTTCGGTGATTGGAATTGGAAGCGTGTTGTCCAGCTTGGTAAGCATTGTCGTTGGCATTTTGTTCTTTCTACTAATCATGATGCAATATTGCACTTAGGACGACTCACTGCTCGAAAATTAGCAAACGCCGTGGAGCAAAAAGCCGATCATCAACGCGAGCTTTTGGAACTTGAAAGCTGCCTGCAAGCACAAGATATTTCCGAATGGAGAATTGACATAGAGGCTTGGGAACTGGATCGCATGCAGCCAAATCCATTCAAGGTCCGAGTAGCACATATGTGTTTTTGTTCGTTTCAATTTCTCTCCATTGACTTTATTAGCCGAGACACAGGCTGCTATTCGTCTAGAACTCGCACGTATTGAAGCCGCAGAACTTGAGTCTGGCACAAATGTCTCCCTTCATGCAGAAGTCCCCCCCTCGGTATTAATCAGTTCTGCAATTGACCTAGAAGATCAACAGTAAGTTAACCAGCTCGTGAATTCACGAGCAAAGAACTAATGAGCACACAGACGACGTTTATCGCATGAAATAGCAGCACTCGGCGCCCATGCAACCGACCACCAACTCGCTAAGGTCCAGCTGCATGCCAATACATTACGCAGGAAAGTTGATGGGTGGCAGGAGATCCAATTGCTTTATATGCCATTCGTGTCTCGCCTACGCGCCAATGAAGATTGTGCACGCTCCTCTACGGATGCAACACCCGCTGTCGAAGCTATTAATCTGTGGCTACCATCTGCAGTCGGCCCAGACACACAGTGTCCTACTCAGCTTCATCGCTTCGAATGGATGTTACGCTACGCCCAAGCAAATGATGCGTTAAAGGACATTCGAAATCTTTTGCGTCTCCGCTCACACCTATATAAATTCAAGGATAACAACATCGTCGGCCAAGCAGCTAATACCCGCGCAAGAAGTACTATCAATAAGACCGATGTCAAAGTCAGCATGGCCGCTGAGCGTTATGAAGTTGCGAGGGCGGCGCTCACTGCTCTGGCGCAGATTCTCGATGAAGGCCCGGCCTGGCAAGATATATTCAAGCCTCTCAATCGCAACAGGGACCTGAAATCGTTGAAGGACATGTGGGAAAAGGAGACGGAGGGGACGAGACACCTGTCGTGGATCTGGAAGACACCGGGGGTGGCAGAGGACGCCAGTGTTGGCCTACATGATGGTAAGGCCTAATATTTTTCAATTTGCTTGCACTGACAGACATGCTTATGGTTAGCCCTTCGTATCGAATGGTGCAAGGCGCGCGCGCGCGCGATGCGATGGGAGGAGGAGGTCAATTTGCTGAAGGAGGAGCAACGGCGGGTCATTGCATTCCTGGACTGGCAGGCAGACTGGTGGTGGTGTCAAAGACAAGGCCGCGATTCAGAACACTTGGATGACTGCTTGAGGGAAGGTTTGAAGGCCTATGCCGAATGCCAGGCATCGCTGCGCAGGGCTTTATCGGCTCAATTTCAGGCATTGTGGACGACACCTACCCTCCCAGCAGCAACAAGCATCGACACAGCAACATTCACTGTTTGATTTTTGAGATACATGCTTGTACAGTAGTCACGTTTTATCTACTATGATGCATTTTGGCCTGCTATTCTCAGTGTGGTATGGGTGTCGGTCACCGTGAGAGGCAACAGTGGGCGTCGGTCACCGTGGGAGGCAACTATCATGCGTCGTGCATGATATCATGCAAGGCAGCGGCTGTCGTGCATGGCAAGACGCAATGCAAGACTGCGGCTGTCATGTATGGTGCCATGATTGTCATGCATGGGGTAACACTGCGGGTATCATGCAAGGCAGCGGCTGTCATGCATGGCAAGACACTATGCAAGGCGGCGGCTATCATGCATGACGGCAAGACACTACTATGCAAGACTGGGGGTGCAGCCAAGACACCATGCATGGCAAGGGACAGTGTAGCCTGATGTATACCATGCATGAATGACAGACTAGGATAGCAGTACAAGATGCATGACGTCTGTACTCTAGTAACAGTACTATCATGCATGACTACCCCACCATCAGGTGGTGCGATGGCCGTCACTGGCAGCTGATTCATTACCCTGATGTTGCATCCTGTATTAGTGAAATGTTACCTTCACTTTTGCACTTTATGAGGGCGTGTCTGGTAGTACTCACCAGCGATGTTACCATTTCGTGAGGGTGTGTCTGGTAGTAACCAGTTTCAGTGTTGGGACCTGAAAAAATGTCAAGCAGATGCTACATAGAGGACAAGCAAAATGCAAGTAAGTCATGTCAATATTAATAGTGGTTGCAAGAAGCAAGCGAAACATGTTGAAAATTGAACGTCGAAAAGTTCAACCATGGGAACCGATGGCATGCGTCTTGATTAGTAATCATTGGACTTTGAAGTTTTTGAATTCTCATAATGCGGTGGACACTGGACACTGGATGTGGAGTCGACTTATGGCCTGGCGCGCATTCCTACTGTCAACAGTTGGGACCATGATTAGCTTGTGTTTGTGTGACTCAAAAAGCGACCGTAGCGCATTGTTTGAAATATAGTGGTTCAGCAACCGTTGGGCATGGATGGTGCGTTTGCATTTGTGTGAACACGGCCGTTAATCTGACTTGATTCCAAAAGGATACTGTGCTGCGCAAGTTTGTGTCGTCTTCACGCTGACAAGTCAAGCTATGAATGTGTTATTCCCTGCTGGACCTGCTAAACCACCC